GGTGGACAACCCGCACTCGGGGCCGGCCGGCAAGCTCTTCGCCTGCGTGTCCGTCGCCTTCGTGGCCGTCACAGCCGTCGGCCTCTGCCTGAGCACCATGCCGGACATCCGCGCCGAGGAGGAGCGGGTGAGCGCGGGCCGGGGCCGGGGTGGGACTGGGACAGCGCCCCGGGGTGGCCAGGACAGGGGTTGAGGACAGTGGGGTCAAGGCTTAGGACTAGGGCTGGGACCGGGACCTGGAGGCAGCTGGGCAGAGGCAGCGCACGCTGAGTGGTGGTCTTAGACATCCCTCCCTAAGTGGTGGCCGGAGCCACCTTCGCCTGCGCTGTTGACGTGCCCCTAGTGAGCCCCCGAGGGAGGCGGACGCATAGGCCGGCGGCTGTGCACTGACAGCAGAGGCCCCAAATTACAGCCCATTTGAAGAACTCAGCGAGGCCGTGTGGTCAGCAGGCCTTCTCCGCTGATTCTCTCCAACAGTCAGCTGGACGCTCGGCCAACCTGGAGCTGAAACCTCAGCATCCTAAAGGTCTAGAGAGTCATGTGCTTTAACCTCCAGTTCCCTCGTCCCGGACCACAGGGACGTGTCCTCGGACCTCCGCATTCTTCGAGGGCGCAGGGCCAGGCTTCTGGCTCCGGCAAACCCAGAGCTGGCTTTGTCCAGGAGCTGGGGCTCATTCCTGCCCCCTTCTGTGTGTCCTGTGAGGATGCCGGAACATGGAACGTGGGCAGAAATACCATTCTAGGGTTAGGATGTTCCCCAAAGCGTGTCAGCGTTTGTGCGCTGAGCGCTTCATGGAAAGTTCAGGAAACATTCAGGGAAGCCTGGGTTTGTGTTGTTCCAGTAGGTGGGTTAGAGAAGAGGGTGCTACTGTATTTGAAGGACAATGCTGAGTGTTGCCCTGAAAGTGTGGCCTTGCATTGCCTGATGGGGTGGCAGGGGGCATCCTGCCTGCCCCTCCCTTGGTGGTGCCCTTGGTGGAAGGTGGTGCCTTCCACGGTCTGGGCACAGGCTCCCTCGGGCCTCCCTCCCTTGGGCAGGGCAGCTCATCGTCACAGCCTCAGAGCCTCTCAGACGTCGGGAGGTTATGCCCGGAGCGCGCCGGTGGGTCAACTCATTATGAGAAATGTCTTGCCTCCTCCTGGAACATTCACTGTTGCTGGCTGAACCAAGAGCGTGGTGACCCTGACTGCAGATTAAATTTAAATGTAAATTTTAGGAAATTGGTTTAGCTTCCTTCATTGTTTGGGTGCCTGATTCCTGACTGTCATTTCCAGTGGTCTTCAACAGGCCCACGTTTCGGATTCTGCTTCTAAAAAGACGCTGGAGGTGTCTGGATTTTCTGAGTAGCAATAACTCCACGCAGTATGCAGGAGGGAAGTTGTTTACACAAGGACCAGGGAACAGGAGGAGCGTTAGGGCTGCCTCGACTGGTGACATCATCCAGAAGTCAGGCCGGCCCTCGCAGAATCCTGCTGGGCGCCCACTGTTCTCCACATCACCACCGTTCATAGCCCACATCCACCCCTTCCCCATTTCCCGAAACATCCCTTCACATCACCCAGGTGTCTCACCAAATCAGTCATCAGTTTAGAAAGGAATAATCCCTATGTTGATGACTCGTGGAGAAATACGTCCGTGTGCTGGCCGTTCCCGTGTGCAGGGACATCTTCGAGATGCTGGGCCCACATGTGGTGCTGAGTAAACTACGGCAGGAAGGAAGAAGCTCTGTGTTTCATCACTTTGTGTGTGTGTGTGTGTGTGTGTGTGTGTGTGTGAAATATACGTAAAATTCACCACCTTAACCATTAAGTGTACAGTTCAGGGTATTAGGTACATTCACATTGTTGTGCAGCCATCACCACATCATCTCCAGAACTTTCTTACCTACCCAAACTGAAACTTTGTCCCCATTAAACACCAACTCCCCATCCCCCTCCCCAGCCCCTGGCACCCACTGTCTACGCTCTGTCTCTATGATTTTGACGACTCTAAGAACCTCATATAAGTGGAATCATACACTATTTCTTCTTCTGTGACTGGCTTATTTCACTCAGGATAACGTCCTCCAGGTTTGTCCATGTTGTAGCAGGTGTCAGAATCTCCTTCCTTTTAAAGGCTGAATAACACTCCAGTGTCTGTGTGCACCACATTGTATCTGTTCATCCATCAGTGGACGCTTGGGTTGCCTCCTCCTCTCAGCTGTAGTGAATGATGCTGCTGTGAACGTGTGTGTACAATTATCTGCTTGAGTCCCTGCTCTCAGTTCTTGTGGGTCTACACCCAGGAGGGGAATTGCGGGGTCATATGGTAACTGTTTACTTTTCGAGGAAGCTCCACTCCGTCTTCTGCAGCAGCTGCACCACGACTCTGTCACTCGGAACAGTGCCAGGCACGAGGCACAGGGAACAGAGGGCAGAGGAGAAGAGAGAAGACTGGGAGCGTTTTGTTTTCTTATTTGTTGGGGTTTTTCCTATAGACCTTAACTTGAAAGTCACAAGGCTAAAATATTTTTTATATGTGATCTCTGATTTTAAATAAGTGGCTAAATGGTTTAGTTTTAAAATTTAAAGTATTCTTTTGAAGGCCCCCAGATGAGTCCTCTGAGAGGCGTGGTGTTGATGGGTCCCTGCACCTGAGGGTCTCGGGCTTCTCTAGTGCTCCCGACATTCTCGTTAAATGCTCCCAATTTTCTTCTGGAAAATGATCTTGAGGGGAGCAAAGAGCGTCCTGAAGAACTAGAAGGTGGTTAACGGCTCCCCTTTATCAGTGTCTCTGATACGGTCTCTTCACCTCTGGCAGTGTTAGTATTGATGGTTATTATTGTGTGTTGGTGCAGAAAAGCACAGAAGGAGAAAAGATCATTACCCTCTGTTATTACGGGAATTAGTGGAAAGTGGCCCTGTGGCTCCTGCTGCTGATCCGTGAACTCCTCCCTGAGGAAGCGAGCGCCCTTGCCCGGGGTTCCCAGCCCTTTGCCGAGCTGGAAGGGAGCCCATGGCTGCAGCTTCTTCCTTGAGGAGTCTGCCTGAGGCAGCGCCCGCTCCGGGCTGCCCCAGCCCCGCTCACTGCACAGAGAACTCCGGCCCTCGGCTCTGGGATGGATCTCCCCACGTTCCGTCTCCGCCCCTCCATGTCACGGGATCTCTGATTGTCGCACCGAGACCCCTCCCCTGATCCAGGACGGGGCTCTGCAGCCAGATGGCCCAGGTCACATCCCTCCGGGCCACTTAACCCTGGTCATGGGGCTGCTGTGAAACTGGGTCAGGTAAGGTCCACGAGTGTGCAGACAGCGCCTGCAGTGACGGCTGCGCAGGTGCCCGTGCGGCTGCTCCCTCGTGGCACCCTCCTTTGTCAGACGACTTCCTCACAGCCTGTCTTCCCCTAGAATCTGGGCTCTCACTGTCTGCCCAGGGTCGTCACCACCCGGGGCACTCGCTGTCCACCCTCACTGTCCACCCAGGGTCGTCACGGCCCATGGTTCTCGATTTCCATCAGGGTTGTCACCACCCGGGGCACTCACTTTCCGCCCACGGTTGTCACCGCTCAGGGTCCTTACTGTCCACCCTCACTGTCCACCCTGGGTCGTTACCGCTCGGGGCCCTCGCTGTCCACCCCGGGTCATCACCGCCAGGGGCCCTTGCTGTCCACCCCGGGTCATCACCGCCAGGGGCCCTCGCTGTCCACCGGGTCGTCACGGCCCGTAGTTCTTGCTGTCCACGCAGGGTCGTCACCACCTGGGTCCCTCGCTGTCCACCCAGAGTGGTCACGTTGGTGCCCAGTGATTCCCTTTGCCCAGGGCTGGGGTGGCAGCTCCATCCAGAATGAGCTGCTCACACTTTCTAACTGAACAAACACTAGTTCTTTGCTTCTGTGTCCTGAAGTTTAAACGTCATTTGTAGGAAGAATTGATTCCAAAATCATACTTGTAGGAGGAACTGTGATGTTGTGCTGAGTGGGACAAACCAGTGACAGGACGGTAGGACCGTGACAGAAGGACAAACCCTGTCTGATTCCACTCACACGAGGCGCTCAGAGGAACCACAACCATAGAGACGGAAGCGGGCAGGGTGGGCACAGGGGAGGGGGTGGGCTTGCTGTCTAACGGGGGCAGAGCTTCAGTTTGGGAAGATGAGGGCACTCCGTGGGTGGAGGGTGTGATGGCTGCACAACAATGTGCGTGAGCTGCACGCTTAACAATGGTGAAGATGGAAAATGCTGTGTCTGTTTTCCACACACAGACAAGTCGCTGCTCAGGTGTTTGGATGGAAGAACGTAGCAGAGACCCCGGGGTGGCCTGGACAGGGAATCGCCCTTTGCCCCCAGACTCTGTTTGCAGTTGTCCGTCCATGCACCCCTCTGCTTGCCTGTGTTTGTCGGCCATGGTGAGGCTGAGCGTGTGGAGTTCTGCTGGTGACTCTAGGGTGAAAGCCCAGATCGTAGAGATCCAGCTGTGCTCTTGCCAAGCTTAACCCACCTGACACGGCCCGATGTAGGCGAGTGACCGCCGGACTGGCTGGGCCTCCAGTCCTTCCCCCGCGTGGCCTGGACTAGGGCCCTCCTGTGTCCCTTCACTTGCCTGGGAGCAGCCTGGGGTGCGGTCCTTGGGATGGCAACTCGTCCGTTACTCTGCCTCGAGTGACCTCTGTGTGAGTGTTTGGGGAGGTGGCGCCCAGCCAAAAATGGCATAAGGCGCTCTGGGAGGCACTGCTGGGGCAGCACCACAGCCGACGCCCGCGGTAGAGACTATTCCAGAGTCCAGCGAGCTGACAAGAGCAACTCTGACGCCCGTCCCATCCAGGCACTGCTTCACAAGGTGCCGAGGACCCTGGGCCAGAAGGGGCTTCAGGCCAGCCTGAGGGGGCGTTCTAGAAAGAGCCCCCCACCCCGTCCTGAGGAGGGCCCGGGCCGGCATCACAGGGACCCTGCAGGCGTTGTCACCGGGGCTGTCAGGCCCGCCGGGCAGCTGTGACAGCTCCTGACACCATGCTGCGCCCAGACCTGGTGGTCAGGACCCTCCTAACACTCAGCTCCCCCTGCAGTGAGAGAATGGTCTTGGTGCCCTGGGGGAGCTGCAGGGGGCACAGGGCTTTGAGGAGACCTCAGGGGCGCCTTTTCAGCAGGCAGCC